AAATCTTATATCAAATCCATTGCAAAATTAGCATCTGAAAAAGTTGCTTCTCTTTATCGAGCTCGTCACTTTCTTATTCTGGATTCTATTACCTATCTCTATAAATCTCAAATCCGGCCTTGTATGGAATAATGTTGTCATATCTGAGGTGGATCTTCTAATGATGCCCTTTCTCTTTTAGACAAGGTGCAAAAATGCATTGTAAACATAGTTGGACCTGCTCTTGCAGCCAACCTTCAACCTCTGTCACATCGTCGTAATGTTGCTTCTCTTTCTCTTTTCTACAAATACTATAATGGGCACTGCTCGAAAAAGCTAGCGTCTCTAGCGCCATCTACTAAAGTTCATTCTCGTGTTACTCGTCATTCAATTAAGTCTCATCCTTTTTCTGTTACTGTTCCTAAGTGCTCCAAAAACTCTTATTTGTCTAGTTTTTTTCCTGGAATATCAGTTATTTGGAATTCTCTTCCTTCATCTTGCTTTCCTGATTCATATAATTTGCAATTTTTTAATTCGTCTGTCAATCGTTATCTTTCTCTACAATCTTCATCTTTTCTCTTCCAGTAACTTCCAACACTAATTAGTGGTTGCTTGCAGCCTTGTTGGAAGCGAAGATAATTTAAAAATATATACATATATAAAAAAATATATATATAAACCATGCAATTTTTGGATCACATTTTAAATACGCTTGTCAGGTTTGGGGACAATGCAAGTCTAATGCTTTTTTAAGGTTATGTAACCTACAAAACAAAGCTTTAAAAATAATATTCTTTCGACAGTATCATTCTAACTCTGACATTCTTTACTTTCTATCAAAAATACTCAAATTATGTGATCTTGTTTATTCATTAAATTGTCTATTTGTCTGGAATCATAAAAAAGTAAACCTCCCTCCGTCATTCTCCAAATTTTTTTACCACTAAAAAAAGTTCTCGTTATTACCTTCGATCTTTGAGTAACTTTAAATTATCTATCCCAAATCGCTGTTTGGTAAAATACGGTGATAATTCTATTACAAACCAATGCGTAAAAATGTGGATTAATTTACTTTTCATTTTCAATCCCTCAACTTTTTTTCACAATTTAAAACCCGTCTTTTTGACTTTTTGATAAAAAAATACTCTAATTAAAATCTTAAGCTTATTATAGATTATTATTACTATTGTTATTAATATTAATATTATATGTGATGTTAATATTACTTTTTATTTACATTTTTATTACCGTCATTATTACTTATTAAAATTGTTTAAAATATAAATTGTTAATTTTATTGTTATTATTGCTATTATTATTATTGCTATTATTATTGTTGCTGTTATTTTATTGTTAATATTATTATTATTGTTGTTGTTATTATAATTACTAAAATAATCATTATTATTGTTATTATTATATTTAATAGTATCATTAATATTATTATAATCATCTTCATTTAATTTACTTTATTATTATTATATGATTGCTATTATTATTTAATTGGTGTTTACCTTAGATTAGTACTCGTACAGTAACAACTAGGGGAAAGCAGGTAGGATTCGTACACTTTTTACACTAAGTCGTATAAAAGCAAAAATAATTACTATTTTAAAATAATTTTAATGCTGCTGAGTAACCTAAATATCTGGCTTTTATAATATTGTAGTTTAGTCTTGAAAAAAGCTAACAAGACAGTACTATGATGTCTTTTGCAAAAAAATGGAGATCGTACGAATGCACCCCAAACGCGGGGTAGCTTCGTTCAGTTTTTTGTTCGGTACTTTATTACTAAGTTAAAAATATATTTATTGAAAATAAACATTTATTAAGTTTAAAACTGAAACAAAATAAATATTAAACATAATAAAAATAAAATTATATATCCTATATGCAGAGAATACATATTTTCTCAAAAGCTTTTCTAACTTCTCCTAGATATCAGTTACGGCTGTCTGTTTAAATGCGAAATAAAGGCTGCGCGGGTTTTTTCATACGCGGATTTTTTACAGTACGAATACTGTACGAATACCCACTTATTACTGTACGAATGTATCCCAACCATATCAACTAACATATAAATTCAAAATAAAAATAACGGATAAGGTTATTAGAAAACTATTGATTAGATATTAATATAAGACACTTATACAAAAAGCATTATAAATTATTTCATTAATTGGATCAAAAATTATTACAAATAAATGTTTTCAAAGATTATTTGTAAAATTACTTTAGCAGTGCAAAAACACGTATCGACTTGTTCCAATGACGATTAGGATAGCACTACCACGGCACTAAGCTGTTCGCCTTTGTGCATTAGTGGTCTTCACACACACATAAATATAAATGTGTCAAAACAAAGAGTGGTCTAGATATGCCTACTGTACGAATGCTCCCGCTGTACGAATCCTACCTGCTCCCTCCTATATAATTTAAAGTTTTTACAGTAACTATATAATTTAAAGTTTTTACAATTTTTTAGTAGTAAACAACTATATAATTTAAACTTTTATTTCAGAATATATATTGTTATTGTTGTTATTGTTATTGTTAACAAAAAGTTCTTTAAAATTATTGGTGTTTAAAAATAGCTTGGGCCAGGGTCTTTTTAGCATATAATTGAACTTCAACGATTTTATAGACCTCGAAAGTTACACCAAGTTTGATGTTGTAATAAAATTTTTAAGTGTCTTTTCATAAAAGAGTACATTGAACTCAATTTTATATATTTCTTAATCATCAGAGTCAAAGAAAAAATTTTCAATATCAATAATATTGATATATTATATATTATAGTTTTATATTGTATTCAATATATATTATATTTGCATTATACAAGATTGTAAAATTACTCTGAGAAAAGTATACAATATTCTGACTTTTTCACATTTCTTTTGTTTTCGGCTCTGCTTTTGTTTTTAGCCCAAATGAAGCTATGTCTCTTCACTATTCATGCCAATTTTGTATTAATATTAATACAAAAATGGCATGAATTACCTTTCTACTTTCCTCACAGAGAATTAAATTTTCATCTACCTTTACAAAATATTTTTCACGTAGCATTAAAAAATAGTTGTAATAAAAAACTTTAAAAGATATTTGTTTATCTATCATTACAATCATCAATAAATGGGAAATCGCACCGGCAAGCAGACACTTCAAACAACGTTTCCAGTTTCTTTTCTAGCCAGCTTATACTAGACTTATGGTTTTTTGATTGAATTCGTTCTGCAGACAACACTTTTAGAAATGCTCTCGATATTTTTTTTTTAATGGTTTATCTTTTATCAGAGGTAGATTTGGATTGACCCTACACCAAAGCTGTTACAAGCCACTACTGACTTTTGTCACGATTGATACAATTTTCTGTCCATTAAATAATTCTTTCTCAACCTTGTAACCGTATTGAATGACCTGTTTGTAAGTTGGTAGATCACTTAAGGGTAAATCAGAGGCTTTTCAAGCTAATCTTCCACTATTAATAGTATTAATAGTGGAAGATTTGCTGGAAAAGCCTAAAACTCGTATTAGTAATACGAGTTATTTAAAACTTTCACAGGTCCTCCAAGTTTTTTTGAGCTCATGCTGATATGACAATATGAATTTATTATATAACTAAAAAATAAAACAAGAAACTGTTTTTCAATTTAAGTTTCTAAATAAAATATGTTTCAAACTATTTGTTAAAAAATAATTAGCTTACGTTTTAGTTTGGTAAGTATAATTTTATCGAACGCAAATCTCTGTAGTACATACATGAATCGCACACTGAGCCAAATGTTACCATATACATGACAGTGGCTTAAAGTGGAATTTTCGCTGAAATTTCAATTCTTGCTAGACTAATTAGACTTTTTTATTATAATTTATTCATTTGGGCAATTATATATATATATATATATATATATATATATATATATATATATATATATATATATATATATATATATATATATATATATATATATATATATATATATATATATATATATATATAAACTATCCTGTTGATAGCTTCAGTGACGCAATAGTATATTTATATAAAATTATCCCGTTGATAGCTTCAGTGACGAATTAGGATTACACGTAATACGTTTATGTACAAAAACGTTATTTTTGTTGTTTAAATAACCATAAACATGTTTTGACAACAATATTTAATAGGATTAGGTAAGCCCTAATAAACATGGTATAATATTTCATCAACAAAAAAATTTTCATTTAATAGTATATGTATACATACACTATTGAAAATTTTTTTGTTGATGAAATATTATACTATTTTTATTAGGGTTTACCTAATCCTATTAAATATTGTTGTCAAAACATGTTTATGGTTATTTAAACAACAAAGATAACGTTTTATGTATACATAAACTATATGAAAATTTTTTTGTTGATGAAATATTATACTATTTTTATTAGGGTTTACCTAATCCTATTAAATATTGTTGTCAAAACATGTTTATAGTAATTTAAACAACAAAGATAGCGTTTTTGTACATTAACGTATTGCGTGTAATCCTAATATACATATATTATCCCCCTAATATACATATATTACATGTAATATATGTATGTTTTTCATTAAATAGTATATGTATATATATATATATATATATATATATATATATATATATATATATATATATATATATATATATATATATATATATATATATATATATATATATATATACATATATATATATATATACATATTTATATGAATTAAATAAATAAATAAAAGATAAAATATATTTAAAAAATACAAAAGATCTAGTAGAAACTAGATCTCTAAACTAAATATAGTAGATGTTCTACTATATTCAGTTTACAGATCAGTTTACAGATCTAGTATATATATATATATATATATATATATATATATATATATATATATATATATATATATATATATATATATATATATATATATATATATATATATATATATATATATATATATGTTAAAACGTAAGAGTTCTTATAGTTGTTTAATAATTTTATGTAGATGGAAAAAAGCAACTCATTTATCATTGTAAATCCCACGAAGAAGCACTTCAATATATTAAAAAATATGAGTTAGCAGCAACAACACGATTTGTGGTGTTTAAGGCAAATAAAAATTTGAAAACTGATGTGCTAGTTTTTTTATATAAAAATGTTCAAAATAATATATTTTAAATTATTTTAAGTCAGTTTATTTAAATTTTTTTTACACTATAATAGATTAAAAAAGTTATGCTTTAGAGATTCTTACAAAGATTCATAATGTACTTTGGGATGATTTTGCTATTCCTTATTCTGGGATGCCTTTCATAATAGTTTCAAGTAAAGTTTTAGATTGTCATCATGGGTTCGATCGAAATATTTCATTATAAAAAATATCAATAAAAGAAAAGAAAAACTAACGTAATACATTACTTTTAAATCTTTGATATCATTCTTTTCTTTAATAACTTTTAAAATCAAAATAAGTTTTGAAAAATATAATGTATAATCTACTTTAAATCTACTGTATAACTGTTTGGTTATAGATGGATGACCACTGCTTTCAAAAAAACTACGTTATTTTACAAGATACCAAAAAGTTCATGTGTCCTGCAAAAATCAATATGAGAGAAATATTGCAATTTCCTGATTTTAGGGTAAAGGTTTAGTATATAAATTATTTATAAAATAATGATATTTTATATATATTAAGTAATCATAAAACAGTAAAATTGTATTCTAACTTTTTATATATTAAGATATCAGAGAGGTCTGTATGGCGTCAAAATAAAGCCTCAAAACTGTTGCGTAAAAAACTAAAAACCTCTGCATTGAATGAAATATTGCATATAAGAACAATTGTAGTTACTATTGATGATGTATCATGCCATGATAAACATCTTGTTGGACCAGTATAAAAATATAAAATAGTTTAATTCTAAATTGTAGATAAAAATTCAACCAATAATTTTTTTTTTTTTTTTTAAGGCTGAACTGATAGCTCAAAGTATTGATCCTCTAATTTCCAAAAAAAATAGAAGATTATGTTATGGAAGGAGTCTTCAATGTAAGAGAGACGAAACGTCTCCTTCAGATTGCTGTCAATAACATTTTTGAAAAAGAAAATCTTCCTCCCCCAAATAACAAAAGGTTCTTCCCTCGTGTTGATACAATAAGGTCACATATCGTTAAAATCAAACAAAAGTAATTCAATAATTATCACATTACTAGTTATAAAATATCTAATTTTAGTTTTTAATATAAAGATAATTTTTAAATTTTTCATGTATTGCTAAATGTTGTAATTTTAGGCAAAAATGCAAATCTTTCATTTTTTTATGATCTTTCAGCTGCTCCAGGGTCAATTTGCGACTCAATTTGCAAATCAAGACCTGCTTCAATTCAAAAATCTTTGGCTGCTCCAGGGTCAATTTGCGATTCAATTTACAAATCAAGACCTGCTTCAATTTGAAACTAAAAATGCTGATTTGCAGGGCCCAAATATATATATATATATATATATATATATATATATATATATATATATATATATATATATATATATATATATATATATATATATATATATATATATATATATATATATATATATATATATATATATATATATATATATATATATATATATATATATACATTTATCACTCTGGCAACAAGAACTTCTTCTATGTTATGGAAATGAAATAGTGCTTTTGCTATAGTTCTTGATGCTACCTACCGAACTACAAGGTATTCTCTTCCTTTATTTTTTTTAGTAGTGAAGACTAATGCTGATTACCAAGTTATAGCTACTTTTGTAATTGAAAACGAAACAAAGAAGTCTATCACAGAAGCATTAAATGTAATAAAGCATTAGAACACATCATTTAACCCTGCTTTTTGTATGACTAATTATTGCAATGAAGAAATAGAATCCTTGCAATCTATTTTTCCAGGTAAAAGGTTTATATTTGTCCAAAATCTCTGTTCAAATTAATATTTTTTTAATAATTGCTTAAATATTTTACTTAATAAAAATAAATTACAATTTATTGCCTAATAACTTTATGAATAGTGCTGATTGTTCTTTAGCTTGTCGAGTTATCATATGCGATTCTCATAGAGAGCAGGCATGGGATCGTTGGCTTTCCAAAATCAAAAATGGCTTTTCTGAATTTAAAGGCAGCATAATTTCATTGTTGCGTTGTGTTGCCACAGCACAAACTGAAGATCTGGTAGAAGCTGCTATTGAGTCACTACATTCCTCAAACTTTTGGCTAGATGAAAAATTTGATAAATTTAAGAAATATTTAACAAATTATTGGTTAAGTATTAAAGAAGTAATTATGTTATTTACCTTACTATTAACAAAGCTTAATAAATCTCTCTTTATGATCTCGATGGTAATGTATATGTTGATTGTAATGTCATAACTTAATGATAACATTATTTTAATGTTATGTTTATATCATTCATAATTTTTTTACTTTTTATCTGTGTCTTTAAGCATTATTTTTTTTCACATTGATGTTTCTTTTCTTATGTAGACAATTTTAATTGATACACTTATTTTATTTTGCCTAGAAATGGATAAGGGCTTATCGCCGTGACCGGTTGTTAGTAAATTTAAATACCAACAATGGGGTTGAACGACAAAACGAATCATTTAAATACTCTTTTCTTCAACGACATAAAAACTCTTCTATTACTGGCATGCTAACTGTGTTAATTGAAGAATTCTTTCCAGATAAGTTATAACAGTATGTATTTAATTGTCAATTATAACTGTTCTCAACTTCAATGCAATTGAAAAAAAATTTTTTTTTTGTTTATACATTTTAGTTATTCAGAGTCTAATTTCAAAATGAATTGTCAATACAGATGTTATAGTAGCAACATCCCTGAATACTTACATAATAGGCCACATCATTTTGTTAAGCATTGTTTGCAGAAAATTGATTTGGCTAACAAAACTGACTTAGATATAGTATTATTAAACAATCATGGATTGTTTAAAGTCAATAGCTTTTCAGATAAAAATAAAAGCTACATTGTTTATTTTGGAGATAAAGATGCAATGCCAAAATGTACCTGTGTTGCCTGGTTGCAATCAGCTTACCTGTGCAAGCATTTTTTCCTAATATTTAGAAAATATCCACAGTCTTGGTCTTGGCAATCATTATCACCTTTATATTGGGAATCCCCATTTCTTAATATTGACATTAAAAATGACTTGATATTAAAGGAATCATTCATATACAAATGCAATCATGTAAAAAATAATATTAATGAAAATGATGTTACTGACAATAATACTAGTTCTATCCCTTCAACCCCTGATACAGTATCTTTAAAACCTTCTGATGAAATTAATTGTAAAAGAGCTTTTGCTGTTTCAGAAGTACGTGAAATGCTAGCAACAATTAAAACTCTGACATATGATTTTGATGAAGCATCTGAAGAAATTTGTGGTTTACATAAAAAACTATCAGATATTCTTGAAACTCTATATCGAGAAAGAAAAAAAGAAAAAGGTCTACCTGTTAGGGATAAAAAAGCCAATGACTACATACCCAATAATCTATCAAAAGTAGTTGAAATACCTAGTCTTAAAAAAAAAAGTTTCTCACAGATTCGGGAAAAAAAAAAAGATTTATTGCTCTCATCATGTAGCATCAAAGCTGATTGTGCTGTTCAAGAACCACCAATACAAGAGTTTGTTATTTACTGATGATATAATAGCAGGGCAATCAACTTTTATAACTAATTTGATAGATTCAACAATTACTGAGAACTTTTCAACTGATGGTGATAAACAGAAGGTAACTTCAATTCCTCTACCTAAAGCTAAAGATTTAGAAGATTTATCAAATATTGAAAATGTTTTATCTGGTGATGATAACATGAAAGTTACTTCAAGTCATTAAGTTACTTCAAGAATTAAGTTGAGTTCTACACAAAATTTAATGTACTGATTAGTTATTATTAGGATTTTATGTTATATTTAGGCCATATTAAATTCTTACTATTACCATTTTAAATTCTTAAATTTCACCAAAGAAATCAAAGGCCATTTTCCAGTTCTGGGGGAGAAAAATAAACAAATGATAAATGATGCACTTCAAAAAACAGTTATTTTCATAGCAGATTTGTTTAAAAACGTTATAGCAGCTGAACATTTGTTAATTTGTAAAAGTGCTTAAGGATAGTAACATAAAAGACGTTAAGTTTAATTTTTTTTATCAGTTAATAATGAAGTACATTTTTATACATTTTATGTATATTAAATGATATATTTTATTAAATGCTTTTCTACCTTTGCACACAGCAAACACAGCAACATTGATTGTTTTAAGAAGGCAAAAAGATAACGTTGTGTAAGTTTTTTATAAGGTTATAATTTTTTATTATATATTTGTAATATTTTCAGTAATACTGTTACCTTTTTATATTTTTCCAAATTTATCTTTGTTAAACTAATTTTGACTTTCAATGCAACAAAGTATCCTGTGAATTCAACTCACTTTCCGTTAAATTTACGGTAAGTTTCATTCGTGTTGGGTAAAGTGACTAAATTTAAGTCAATTACCAAGTTCCATTTTCAATATAAATTCTTGAAATGTAATACCTGTGGCATGTTAATAGGTTTTCATCATTTAATGTTAATAGGTTTTCATCATTTAATATGAATTTTAATTTTAACTAATATAAATCATTTAATATAAATATTTCTAACAGTGTATGATTGTCTTAAAGACCTATTTGTAAACATCTTTTTAGAAAAAATTGCAAAAACGTGGCTTCTTTTTTAGAAACAAAATTGTAAAGATGTGCCATAGTTAGATCATTTTTCTCTAAGGGGCTGTCCATTAATTACGTCAACAAATATTTGGCAGTTTTAACCTCCCCCTCTCCCTCTTGTCAAACTTTCAGTTACCTCCCATAAAATTACTTCAACATTTGATAAAACCCCCTCCCCCTTCCAAAAAACAATAATACAAAACAAAAAATTAAGCTGAAAATTTTTTTTTTTTAAATTGAATAGTTTACAACTGAAATAAAAAAATGGTTTAAAGTAAAATATTTAGAGAACAAAATGTAGAAGAAGTTGGGGTACAGTGGATCAAGGGGCACAGTGAATAAGAGGCATTTTCTCCAAGACTAGATTTTTGTTTATCTTTTCCTCTAAACTTTTCTTTCCTTAAACACTTATGTCCCAAGAAATTAGACTTAAACTCAATTTGTTATGGAGGGGCACAGTAAATTGGGGTACAGTCAATAGGTTGATTCGCTGTGCCAAATCAATAATCCTAAAGATTTAATTCATGCATTTTCAACAAACAAACAACATGAAAACGAATTAAAATTAAGGGAGAACTCCTTTTTACAGTTATTGGAAATAATTAAAAAACGGCATTAATTCCATTTTTATAAAAATCTGATATAAAAATTTCAGGCAATATGGTTGGAAACGGACAACATTTTCTTTTTTCATAAAGAAAAAGATTAAACCACTTCACATCTCCACGCAGCTGATCAAAGTTGTCATTAAAAAAGTAAATAATTGTTTAGAAAAAGTAAATAATTTTTTAGCAAAAAAAAAACATAAATTTTAACTTTTATATTGTCACAAACCAGTTTTAGCTATTGTACCACGGCTGTTTCACTCAATATAAAAACGAGCGTGACGTCATGAGTTTATCAAAAAAAAAAGTATTTCCGCATAAAAAGTATAAAAATTCACAAACTTTAAATTAATAGTAACTTTTTTATATAAATGCTTTCATCTTGCATTTAAAAAAATATAAAAGATCTATCTTTCCTTGTTAAATAAATATTTACATTAATTAGTATAAAAAATAAATATTGCCAAAATATTTTTAATAATTTAGAACCACTTTTCTAATTTTCGCATATTTTCCGCAAAACATGAGTTGGGCCAACTAAGATTTCATAACATAGCTCAGTGCTTGATAGTTGAAATTTGGAATGCTTAACCCTAAATGCCCATTCTATCAGATTCCTGCGTCATCCTAGAGATTTTTTTACAAAAAGACTGTTTTTAAAGCATTTATATTTTTTAATTAATCGTTTTTAAATGCAAAACATAAATTTTTTGATGGATGACGTAAGTTAATGAAATTTCAACCTTTTATGCAAATGAAAATAAAAAAATTATTTTACTTGCCTTCAGCTATGTTATGAAATATGTTTTCAAAAATGTCATGTTTTACAACTAATCTTGTTAGTTTTAGGCGTACATTTGTGTTGACGTTTTTTTTGCGATGACGTAACCTTTATGCGTTACGTCCCAAACTATTTATTAACGAATATTCTCCAAACAACTGTTTCGGCGAGTCAATTTTTGAAGTATAAAGTAAACAAAGTTACGCGGAATTTTTCTCTTTGGATTATCAAACTAATATCAGATAAGTTGTTAAATCCACTTTTATCTTGTGCATATATTTGTTAATTAATATTATTTTATTTGTTTTTATTATATTGATTAATAAGTCAATATTATTTTGATAACTATGTATTCAACTGAAAGGGAAATTCTAAAACAACATATTGGATGGAAAAATGGTTGGGAAGATAGGTGTAACTTTCCTTTTGTTAAGCGATTAATTAGGACAGATAAGATCAGTAACAATGTCATTTCCATTTTAATGTCAGTCTTTAAAATAAGAAGTGATTTATTTAGTTTTATGAGTTTTCTTATGCCAATTGATTTTGATATGCCTAGTAATGACGAGTTTGATAAAATGTGCCTAAAGTTAACACGACAAAAAAAGAAATATAAAAAAAATTTTAAAGCTATAAAAAACGAAGAATTTTTTAAAATGCAACTGTCGCAAGCTCCACCCAAAAAAAAAAAATCAGCAGATGCAGATGACTTTTTCACTTTAAATAACAGTCAGGAGCTACTGAATCAAATTGATCAATTAACTTCTGAAAATAAAACAATTATGGAGCAAATAGAAAAATTTAAAATGCAAGTATTTAAGTTGGAAGCTGAAATTACAGATTTAATTTCTAAAAATAGGGCTCTCAACACATATTGTAACTCATTAAGTTCTCAATTAGAGGCTATGAGTATTAGGCTAAAACAGGAGGAGCAGTTCCAACTTTAAAAAAAAAAAAAAATTAAAACAGCACAGCGTAAATTTGCATCTGCTCGTGCCAAAAATGTAAGATTGCTAAAAAAAATTATTATTGAAAAAAGAATTGCAAAAATTAGTGATTTAAGCCAGAACAGTTGCCAAATTTGCAAATGTTTTGCTAGTTGCAATAAGGATTTAGTTGTGGTTGATTCTTATTTAGACTACGACAACATTGGTTCCTCTGAATTATTTTGTGGGTTTAAATTAAGTAATCCACAGAATATATCAGTTAAAAAGCCAATAGTTAGTAAAAAATATACTTACATTAAGTTAGGAAATGGTAAACCTTATTCTAAGTTAGGTAGGCATGCTGCAGCTAAACGATCTAAACTTGCTTTTATATTCTTTCGATTATTAGCTTGTTCAGATTTAGAAAGTGATTTGTCTATGTTGTTTTGTGATTCTATGTCTTGTGAAAAGTCAGTATTTTGTTGTGTTGCAAATAAGTTGGGTTTAGTTAAGCAGTTAAGTGTTTCTGATGCTGTAGAGCTACAGAGCCAATTAAGGATGCCCACGGCTAAATTCCGTAGACTAAGACGTATTCTGTGTAATCTTGGTGCAAGGATTCTCCCATCTGAGCCCAAGATGTGACAAGAACAAGAAATGCGGACAATGCATGTCAATAAAGAACATGTCACTGTGAAGTCCATGTTACTTTATCCATCTGCGAATGAAGCACCTTGTTTAGTATCTGTACTGATGGTCAAGAATTTGACATATTATATTGAAGAGGTTTTTACTAATCTTTATGTACGCGACCACCTTAATTCGGATGTCGGTTTTGGCGAAGAAGTATGGCTCCTTTTTGCTGGTGATAAGGGTGGGAAATATATGAAATTCCATTTTGAAGTTGTCAATTCTAAATCATCAGGGTCTGTATACGATGTTCACTTGTTTTGTATGTATCAGGGTTCAGACTGTCGTGAGAATATAGCCTTAGTTCTCGGGCATTTTGCCAACGACATTAAAAGAATTCAGTCGTCAGATTTTAAGCTAAAAGGCAAAATAGTCAGGTTGTTCTTAGGTGGAGATTTTTATTTTATCGATGGTGTTCTGGGACACCAGGGTTCAGCTGCTAGCTTTCCTAGTTCTACAGACCTAGTTAAGTTGAATTCTCTAAGAAACCATGCTTCTATGCCTCACACACCTGCTAATTGTAACATCTTAAGGAGGACAATACAATCTCTGGAAAGTGCTTACAATGAGAACTTGTGTGAAAATAGACAAGGTGGAAACCTAAGAACTTTAGGTAAGTTTCATAATTCAATTATTGCTCCTGTGATTTTCCCCATAATAACTTTAGATAATGTAGTGCCACCTGTTTTGCATATTATGTTAGGAGTTGTGTTAAAACTGTATAAGTTATTGTTGAAGGAGTGTAAGACTTTAGATTGTCAAGCTGTTTCGTCTTTGTCGCATAATGAGAATGTGAGAACGAATGAATTGTGAGCTGCTAAAAGCGTTGAATGTTCTAAAACAGCAGAAGCTTTACGTTTATTAGGAAATCAATTTGTAGACGTTGCAAATCTACAGGCGCGTTGGTTAGCTTTTAATAAAAATATTTCTGAATTATCTCTAAACTCCTCCAATAAAAAAATAACCTTTAAACAGCAAGAAATGTGTGATAGTATTAGGTGTTTAATTACAAAATACGATTGTAACATTGATTGGGTGCAGTGTGGTACGTGCCAAAAATTGTTTCATCAATTTTGTGAAATTATTGGTGATTCGGAAAAGAGTGTATTGTGTGACATTGAGAAGTATGAGTGTTTAGCATGTCAGGGTGAAGATATAGAATGTCTTGACCTTTATATTTCTGAAAAAATTTCTTTTATACGTGCACAACGCGAAGTTTTAGACACTGAATATATTAAATTGCAGGTGGAGTGTGAAGACCTAGAAAAAATATCCAAAAGTAGCATGGGGACTCATGAGAGGTCTCTTAATAAGGCCCTTGAAGATATGAAGGTTGAGCCACAAGCGTACCACGGTAATGTGTTCGTAGGTAATCATTGCAAAATAGTCTTAAGAAACCACTATAAACTTTGTAGTGTTATTGATGATGAAGCTATTAAAAATAGATTTGTACGTGTGTTTAGTGTTTTTAATAAGTTGCAACCTATTCTATTTAAGCGAAAATTTCTTTCAGATGCCGAAATTACTGAGCTTCATCAATATATAAATTTATTTGCTATCGAATTTCATGATTGCTTTCCAAAAGAAAGTATCATGCGAAAAATGCATGAACTCATTTTTAATGTGCCACTATTTGTAAAATTGCATAAAACTATTGGGTTGCTGAGTGAAGAGGAGGGAGAGTGTTTGCATAATAGCGTAAATAAGGAATTAAGACAGTTGCGTTCAGTAAGAAATCAGGAGCAAAAGCTGCATCTTGTTTTAAAACGCTTTGAATTGCACAGCAAAGCTGATAGGAAGCTTCAAGCCTCTAAGATGAGAAAGTGTGTTGTGTGTTCTGAGCGTGGCGAAAATTCATTTTATAGACAAGGTCTTTGTCTTGTTTGTGGTCATCAAATTTAGTTAAAATATTTAAAAAATTAAAAACAACAACAACAAAAAAAAATTAAAAAGTAAGATAAATTATATGAGATCTTTAATTTGTATATAAGATAATTTTATTTTGTTCTAATATCTGTGTGATGTTAGTTTAAAATATTATTTTTTAATATATTGATTTTATATATTAGGTAGGTGCCCATTCTGTTCCTAGCTTCAGAAGTTATTTATACCTATGCAATACCTTCGCTCAGGTTAAAGAATGGAATACTAGTCTTGCATCAAATGTATGTAAAAATCTAGCTTTTATATATTAACTTGTGATCAGAGCAACTAGTATGTTGGTTGGGTATGATCTGTTATGTTTGTGTATTTAATTTAAAAGATGTATTGTTCTTCATTATATGTAACATTTTTTTATAGATATATTACATATCCATTCGATGTTTATCACCAGAAGTTAGTTCTACCTTTGCAGTACCTCTGCTTTACATACCTCCTCGCTGGTTAAAGAATGGAATATAAATCTCATATCAAGTTGGTGTAAAAATTTAGTTCAATAAATTAAGAATTTATAAACGTTCTCAAAATTTTGAGTGGAGCAATTGTTTTTCTGGTTTAGCATGAGTATGAATCTGATATCAATTGTATGTACAAAGATAGTTTACTTCTTAAAGAACCTATCAGTAAACCAACTGATTATAAAACAGTTTTTAATGGGAATAAAAACAAATTTTCAAAAGATTTCAATTAGCTATTTGTATATTCAAACACTTTATTCACTGAGAGAAGAGACTATAGATTCAAGTGCGATAAAATAATTCTACTACCAAAAGCGAGGTTAATTCAAAAACTGAATCTCAAATTTGGTCATGAATTATTTTATTAGACTTGGTGAGTCTTTATTTATTAACAACTTAACACCATATTATTAGAACTGTATGCACAGAAAAAAATAAATGCTTTAGCTTTAAATGTTTTGACTAAATATTCCAAAATCGAAATCTGGCTTTTTATTGCAATGCAATGAACTTATTGGCTTAGGATAATAAGTTTCTAAAACAAGAACTTCTAGGTTTAAAAATGTACTCTTTTAACAGCTAATCCCCCTTTTAACTACGTTTTTCATAACTTTGCAAAAAGTGCGGTTTGCTTTCAGACCTCATTAAAGTCTGTTTTAGCTATCCTTAAACAATTAAGTAAGGTTTTTTTGTTTTTATAATAGTCAAACAATGGGTATATTTGAGATTAACTATCAGAAATAAATTTTTCTGATTTTTTTTTTGATAAAATGTAACATCAAATTACTTGAATTCAGCCAACGTCATCATTTGTCGCGTTTTTTTTTAAACTTAAAGAAATTTTTTTACTAATGCATTAAATGTCATAAGATGAAACATTTTATTGGTGTTATTATTCTTTTTACAAAACAAAATTATCTTGATTATTTTAAAAGTTATAGAAGTTTTAGTAACACCCTTTTAGTCAATATTTTCAAAAAATAACAAGAAGCCGTTAAGCTCGGTTTGAAACAGCCGTGGTACACCGATCAATCAATAGAATATTATTCAAGCTATCAGAATATCATTTAAAATATTTTATAAATTTGCGTTTCTTACCCTGAAAATTGCGGTAAAGGTAACTTTTGAGTAAGAAATAGCTCACTTGAATGTGACTTTTATTAACTTTTATTAACAGCCTTGAAAAAAAAAAAGAAAAAACAACTTAAACTCATTCTTTTGTTACTCATCATTACATCTGTCTCATACTAGTTTTTTTACTCAAAAATATGTTCTTTATAATTCTCTCCATCCATCTTGTTTTCCTGATTCATATAATTTGCAATATGTTAATCAAGTCATCTGTGAGTCATTATCTTTCTTCATAAACTTTATCTTGGTTCTTCCAGTAACTTCCAACTTGTTAAAATCTATGTATACTTTGAATATTTTAGAAGTATATATATAAGTATATAGATTTTTTTTTGTTACTTATTGTTTTGCTTAAAATCAAAATTTTTGTTATTGTTGTTAAACCAATCACTGTGAGTATGAGCTTATACTCACAGTGCTTATAGTTCGACTGACTGCTAATTGTACAAAAATGTTCAGAGTAGATTTGAATTAAACATTTTTGAGCAGTTTTTCGAAGTTAAAACTTATGTTTGCCATGACTTCCATTCCTGTTGATATTTTTCTTCAGTTCAAGTGCCAGTAATTTGCAGCAGATCTGATAAACATGGACATGGATATCCCATCTCCAAGCTTCATTTATAAATATTTTATCTCATTCATATTGTATTCTTTTGTCAAAAGATGTTCCTTTTGGCAATCAAACACATCATAGCTACAAGGCCGGCGCAAAGGAGGGTGTGTGTGTGTGTGTGTGGGGGGGGGTGTAACACCCCCATCAATGATTTTTAGTCGGCAAATTTGACATCAATGATTTTTAGTCGGCAAATTACTTTTGGACTAGTTAGTCTGCAAATGTCGACCCTTTCGATATAGGTTAGTCGGTAGTTAAGACAGTTAGTCGACAAATGTCATCATGGCAATCGGCAAATTTTCGAAAATGAGGACCTTTTTTTTTTTTTAATTGGGGCAAAAGTAATAATGTCACTCCCCCCTCCCCCCACGTGACACCTACTCGCGACGGCCCTGCATAGCTATACTCACATAATCAGAGTGTAAACATCATAACTGCAGAAAAGACATAAAAAACTTCGTTGCTGCAATTATGATAATTATAATATATCCCAATCAACAGAGGATCACCTATAATCTTCAACTGTCGTTATTCAAGATTAGTCAAATTATAATGGATTGAAGTCGATTCATGCTATGATAGCATACATTTTGCATGCATGCATTCATAAAATGAAGGAAAACTGTCCTGCCATGATAATTACAATAAAAATCACTAAAAGTTTTAGTCTAAAACATAAAAAATCATAAATTATGATACATCAATAAACAACATCAGATAAAATAAAAATAAACAATATCAGATAAAATAAAAATATTCTTTGCAATCAGACTAAAATAAAGCGCAAATATTAAAATAAAAAAGAAATAAAAATATTTAAAATATTACAAATACTAAAATAAGAAAGTTAATAAGAGTTAACTAAGTTAACATTTTTTTCATAAATGGAATTTATGTGTTACTAAGTTAACATTTATTTAATAAAATGAATTTATTAAAGAGGAACACAAAAACAATAAAATTAATAACTAAAGACTTAAGAATACATAAAGCTGTTTTAAAAATTATTTTTTGAAATTATAGCAAAACTATGAGTTAATAATAAACGTACATTACATACATTTAACAATGCTTTTAAACACTTTTTTCACTTAAACTCTAAAAGTGTAGGAAAAAAAAGTTTGCTTAAAAAAAAAACATTTCATTGAAAAAATTAAAAATTACCTTATGTGCAAACAACAAAATTTTGGAGTTTTGAGCTTTCTTGACAGTTTATTGCTTTTTTAATTATAAGCTTTGAATCTTTGGTTTTTGTAAACATGCTATAGATGGATGGTATATTCCTGATAACTCAGATTTGACAATTTTTGTAGCATACACATTTTTTCTCTTCTGTAAGGTGTTGAGTTTTATTTTTAAAAAGGGGAGCAGAAAGGGAAATCCAAGGTTTGTGACAAACAATGCGTACACATTGCGACTGTATTACATAAAACCTCTCTAATTGTGACTTAGATTGGCTAACACATTTCTTTGAAATACAATGTTTTGATTGAAATACATTTATTGCAGATTTTCACTATGTTAATCTTAATATCAGTTACAATGATATTAAACAAAAAAACCCTACCTTTACTGAATAAACTGGAAGGATAAGGTCTTTATTGCTTCTGGATTTCTATTATTATTTAAATCCAAAAAAATCCTGAAGCAACAATAATAAAAGCCAATAACAAAATTTGAGCAATACTATACTTTAAATATATTTTTATAAAAACTGTTACACTATAATATAGACTATATTATAATGTAATAGTTTTTATAATAATATATTTAAAGTATAGTGTAGCTCAAATTTTGTTATTGGCTTTTATTATTGTTGCTTCTGACTATATACTAGTATTAGGTACGCGACTGGAATTTTTAAATTGATCATATAGTAGAAGGTTATATATCATTAGAAAGGCCTTCAACAGGGTCTTCGAGAGGGAGGGGCAAAGGGGGTAAATTGACCCGGGCGCCATGCTTTAAGGGGCGCCGGGCAATCCGTTGGTTATTTATTTATTTATTTTTATTATTATAATTTTTTTTTACAATAAATATAAAGTGTTTTAGTGACTGACAATTTGAAATCTGCTTAGTTTTTGTACTTGAGATTAAAGATTTAGTATTCGGAATAAAAATGCTCATGAAAAAAATAATTTAAAATTTAAATTCTATTATTATAATTAATTTTAAACTATTTTTTACGAAAAAAAATACAATTTATTGAAGTAGAATTAGATGGAAGCAGGCGTATTCCGTAAGCCTGTAAACAGTTAGCAATGCTAGCTCATGCTTGATTGTTTGAAAGATGATGCAATGCGGTAATTATAATGGTAACAGATCAAATATTGCTTTGAAGCAGTCAACACTAATAGAACTGAAAACTTCGTTTGGTAATGCGCTCCATGGGTTCGCTTCAACTTCTTGCAAAAAAAAAACACACGAGAATTTATTGTCGATTTCACGATAAAAGCGCCACTCTTTTAGGTAGTATTTGACTTTGAAGTAAATAATCAGAGCTTTGCATTTTTTAGACAAATAAGCAACTTTGCCACTACCAGCACCTGAATAGTTATCAAATATTTGAGTTTTTGTATCTTTGCTGCACTCAATACGTGTAATTTACTACACTCGATATGTGTGGTTTGAAGAACTGTGGATCAGTAGGGGGCTCAAAAAATTTCCATAAATCTGAGCTAAAGAATTTCAAAGTTAATCATCAGAGTCAGAGCGAGAAACTTTATATCTTACAGTGAAGAGTGTGATGTTCAACCTGATTCGGTAATAATTACTGCTAACCGCTCTTTGTGACCAGTTGTTTTGAGTCAAAAAGATCAAGATGTAATTATTTAAAAAATAAAAACCCAGCACAAAAGCAGTTTTCAAAAGTAGGTAATTGTCCTTTCTTTCTTAAAACAGAGGAACAAGGGATCAATGGAGGAAACTCCTAATTTTTTTTGTTAGGTTATTTAGGTGCTCCTAGAAGTCCTTACGGTCTTATCACGGAATACCGCGGGACACCATTTACTAGAAGTTTTCGCCTCCTTCCTTACCAATGTCGTTTATTGGACTGGAGCCGGCGTCGAACCTCGGACCTCTAGTTTCTGAGCCAGAACTCTAACCACTTCGCCACGGCTGCTTAATAAATCGTGTGAAGCAGCATCAATCCAGCTAAAGTGCAGCTCTCGAAGAAATCCAGAATGGTATCTACTTCACAATCATAGTCGATTGTATCTCATACTGAGCAGAGAATCTTTGTTATTCGTTTTCTCCTCATTTTCTCTGGAAGAGAAATTAACTGCTGGAAAATCAAAGAACGATACTTGTGTGTTGAAACTTTTCAGATGAAAAAAGAAGTTGATATAGCTAAACTAACCACTAATGTAGTTTTAAGGCTGAGAATGAATGTTCAAAAATGTCGAGGTCAGGGACACGAAAGTGGGACCATTATGTCAGGTGCTTACAAAGAAGCTCGAGCCTCTAATAAGGTAAAATTTTTTGCGAATTTATTAAGCTCTGTACGTGCCCGGTAGCGTTCACAATCTAAATTTGGCTGATGTGTACGCAGTTGAATCAGTCATTGTGATCAAAGTATTCTTTAAAAATACCGAATCTTTGTACTTATTTTTAGTTTTTTCAATGAAAGATTCTCACTGAAGCAACTTGGATTTTACTGCATAGACTTTCTATGACAACACGGAGCTCTCTTTTCGACTTGATCAAACCACTTGCCAAGAGAAATGTTGGCAGCTGTTAAACATGTCGTGAAAATCTGTTTGACCAGTGAGTAACTGTTAGTCTTCTTCTACAATCTGCAGCCATTACCATTAATGATGATCTACATTTGATTGGACAGCTACTTGAAAATCTTAAACGGGTCAGGGACACTTGGTTACGAATTTTCTAAGAGACTGTAATTGTAGCTAACTTTATCTGAGAGATGTAAAAAAAAAGATTCTCATTTAAGAAGTTTGCCGTTTTAACAATTTCCGCGGTATTCGATCTAATCTTGTAGCAGAAGCTACAAGATTTTTTTCATACAGTTGAATCATTATGGTCGCTTTTTTTCATACAGTTGAATCATTATGATCGCGTTACTAATATTTGATTATTTTGATTAAAGAAGATTTGGGCTAAAAAGGTTAGCTACGACAATGTCATCATTATTTGGGCGACCATAAAAGCTCAAAAAGTTTATTTTTATGTGCCTTGTTTACCTTTCTTAATGGTTTTGTTGATTAATTTAGTTTTAAAGCTCATGTTTTCATCATATCAAAAAACCGTTTCTCAATCCAGAGAATTAACGGTAACGCAAAAATACAAAGTGCTGTATTAGAAACAAATAACTGCTGCGTTTAAAATTTTAATTTCTTTAATTAGTTTGAATTAAGGGCGTTGCTCTTCGTTTTTGACCCGGGCGCCAATGACGCTTTCGAAGGCTCTGGCCTTCAATACAGTATTTTAAAGGTGAAAAATTATTAAAAACGAACAATTCTAAAAAAAGTTATAACATTTTTAGTACCAAATTTAAGATACATGGAATTGTTGAAGAAAATAATTATTTTTTTCACTTAAATTGTTATAACTTTGTCAATTTTTATCCAAATACCTATATCTTGGTATCAAAAGATAGGTACACTAATGGAATACAAGTTCATATTGGTGCCTGGATGTAGGGTGTATCTCGGGAGCCAGAGGGGGTAATGAAACACCATCTAAGCCTTAAGAAAATACAAGTTTTTGTCAGAAATAAGCACTTTTTTAATGTAATTGTTACATTTCATACATAAAATATTGCCATAACTTAATTCCAGAACACTGCCAAACAAAATAAGGTGATTTTAGAGTTGGCCGTCGATGTGGTTATGATGTTATAACACCTTAATACAATAATCATACATTCTAATTAATAATTTAATCTTTATTACAGTAATTAAATATTTTGTTAAAAAGTTAAAATATTTTTTTTACTATACAACATACATTAGTGATGTACACACTAACTTTAGGGGAGGGCGTATGTCGCACTGCCCCTCCCCCTTCTTCCTCCCCCGACGCATAACAAACAAATAAAAATAATTAAATCTTTATTACAATAATTAAATGTATTGTTAACAAGTAAAAATAATCTTTTATTACTACTCAACATATATTATTGATGTACACATTGACTTTAAATGAAGGGAGTGTAATGCAGCACCCCCCCCCCCACCCGACAAAAAATAACGTCATCTTTATTTCAATAATCAAATGTATTGTTAAAAAGGAAAAATAATCTTTTATAACTATACAACATACATTAGTATTGAAAATATTGTTGTATTACATAAAGCAATATTTTTTTTACTATAGAACATGCATTAGTGATGTACAATTTGAGGAGAGGGATGGTTTTTCCCCTTCCCCTCAACCAACGTAAAAAAAAAAAAAAAACACATAGAAATGATATTTTCAACATTTTCACATGCAATTATTAAAAAAGAGAAAGCACAATACAAAATTGTCTTACCAGATTGCACGAGTATACATTTGCATGAGTATTCATTTTCTCGAGTTTACATGTATTCAGTTGCACGAGTATACATTTTCTCATTTAAATGATCATATTTAACCGACCAACCTAATGAAAAAACAAACAAAAAAAATAACAAATGTTTTGAAACATAGTAATTAATTTATGTTTTGGCTTATAGTAAATGATTATAATTTTAAGTTCCAATCCAACTAAATAAATCGCTTTTAACAATAGACACCACGTGAAGGTAAGCCAGAGCCATCTATCTATTTTTTTTGCAAGCCACAAAACTTGCTATATCTATTTGCAAGCCACAAAACTTGCGGTACTTATTTGCAAGCCACAAAACTTGCGGTACACATTTGCAAGCCACACAACTTGCTGTACCTATTTGCAAGCCACAAAACTTGCTGTACCTATTTGTAAGCCACAAAACTTGACTTAATTATAATACTGACTATGTTAAAATATTAGTTATTATTATATCTAAAATTTTTTTGTAAAGTACTTTTTTTTTTTTCTTATTAGTACTTTGAATTATTGTAACTATTGTTTATTATCTTTTTACTTATAACTATTCAGATTATTTAAAAAATAACTATTAAAGAAAAATAAATAGCTTGTTGATGTTGTTGTTATTATGTCATAGAAATTAGGAAAATACTAATTCACCTGATACAACATCAACAGCTAGCTGTATTTTTCTCATCTTATGTTTCTTTCATATATTTTTATACGCCTAAATTAATATTGCAGCAAATGGGAAATCTATACACGACAAGTAATAATTAAATAAGTAAGAAATACATATATTTATTTATATTTATTTAATGGTTAATAAAAGTTATGCTATAATAATTTACCAGTTGTAGTCTGTGCAAATTGGCCTAAAGATAACAAAAAAGTTATATAACCAAAAAAAAAACATCTTGAAATTGTCAACAGTCAATAAAAATATCAGTTATCAAGTTAGTTCTGCTTTACGTACAACAACTTTTCTAACAAAAAAAAGAAATTAAAAAAATAATAAAAACATAAATTATATTACTGTATTTTAAAATTATATTACTGTATATTAGAAAAACACTAGCAAGATTTTACTTTTATAAGAATAAACTTATTATTGTAAAAGTATCTTGATATTTTTACAAGAATAAGCTTGTTAATAATAAGCTTATTCTTGTAAAAATATCAATAATAATATTATTCTAAAATATCAATAATAATATTATTCTAAAAATATTAATAAAATTATTATACTATTCTAAAAATATAATAATGTTATTCTAAAAATATCAATAATATTGTTATTCTGAAAACATTTTGTCAAAAACTCTATTGGCTTAAGCCAATAAAGTTTTAGTTTAAAGTATAATAATGTGACTTGTATATTTTTATATATATGGTGTATACACCATATATATAAAAATATACAAGTCACATTATTATACATTATTATAAAGATTAGGATTTAAGATTAAACCGTTACTTTGGAATATTTTATTTACTAATAGTATCATATGCCAATGTTGTTAATACATGTATTAACAACATTGGCATATGATACTATTAGTAAATAAAATATTCCAAAGTAACGGTTTAATTTTAAATCCTAATCTTTTTTAATATATACCATCATTAGTATAAGTTTAAAAAACCTTAATCTTGGTTTACATGTCATGATGACATGTAAACAAAGATTAAGGTGTTTTTTTAGTTTTTTAAAAAACCTTAATCTTTGTTTACATCATGATGATGTAAACAAAGATAAAGGTTTTTAAACTTATCATTATTGTTTTGTTTTTTTAAAAAGTTATTATTATCATGAAAAACAAATTAACTTACTTTTTGAAGCCTTATTTGCCATGACTTTTATCATTTTTATTTATTAAAATAATCTAATATTAAAAATTAAAATAATGCAATGTAGTAATAATATTTTTTTTTACCATTCGCCACCCCCCTATCCTTCCCCGTATTCCTCTTACCGATAAAACGAAAACAAAAAAAAAACGAATTTAGGTACCATAAGTCCTACACTTCTTATACTATCTGCTCCCTAATATTTTTTGCTGAAATTTGGCATGTGCAAAGAAAATGCATGCAAAAAAGTGTCTTAATAACAAAAAAAGCGGAAACTTTATTCCTTCGATAACAACTTTATGTGAGAAAATCAACAAATTTTCATGAAAGTTTTTAGCAAATCTAACCATAAAAAAGTTTGGTGGTTATACATAAAAGTACTATAAAAATCAAGCCTAACCTTTCTTCTTTCCAAATATAATTTTTGTTTATATATGTTTCTAAAAAAAACATAACTAAAAACGTTTGTCTAACCCTACCTAAAAAAAGCAGTATATTTAATAAAGCACCTTTTAACATATCTGCTCCCTATTATTTTTCGCTGAAAATTGGCACATAAATAGAAAATACATGTATAAAGGTGGCTGAACAATTAAAAAAGCGAAAACTTCATGCCTTCGACTTCAAATTCATGTGAAAACATCAACCAAATATTCAGGAGCAAAATAAACCGTTAAAAAGTTTAGTAACTATACATAAAAGTTTTAAAAAAATAAAGATGAGCTTCTCTTCTTTCCAAAAAGTATCTATGTGTATATATGTTTGTAAAAATAAACTCCACAAAACTACGTCTACCCCACGCTGCCTAAAAAAAATGAAAAAAACGAGTCACAAAATTTTAGTACAAAAATCGGTTCCGTAAATCACGATATGCGCGTACCTGCCAGTATAGACTATATTATAGTCTATACTATAAAATTGGGACTATTATAGATAAAATAGATATTATAAAATAGATAATATAGTTTATACTATAAAATTGGGATTATATTATAGATATAATATTAGGACTAAATTATAGATAAAGTAGACTATATTATAGTCTATACTATAAAATATACATAATACTTCTGACTATATACTGGTATAGACTATATTATAGTCTATACTATAAAAATTATTGTAGGATTTTTTTGAGAAAACATTATTTTTGGTAGATATCTAATAAACAATTTAAAAATTTAGATTGAATATATTATATTTCAATTTATATTTTTTAATTTTTTGTGTAGATACCTACCAAAAAAATTCTTTATCCTAAAATACTCCATTAATTTTATATATTTTATAAATTTATTTTATATAAACTTCTATTAGTTAAATTCAGTTAATGGAATGACTATGAGGCAGTTAACATATTAAATTCAACATAGAATAAAAATGGAAAAAGTGATGGTACTAGCTTTTTTTAAAAAAACGTTATTAGTATTTGTTACTTAAATTAATAAAAAATCTAACATCCCTTTTAGTCATCCCACTTAGTACGTAGAGTCCGCTAAAGCGACAATATTTAAAAATAAAAAATAATCCGGTATCCGAAAAACACGGCCTAATTCTGAAAGATGTTAAAATCTGCCAACCAAAAGAACAGAGCCATTACAAATTAGTAGAAAATCACTTAGCAAAATTTTTTCTCATTTAACACTGTGTTTCATAAATAAAGACTCATCAGAAAATCAAATTCATTCAAAATCATTTTCTGATGAGTCTTTATTGATAAAACACAGTGTTAAATGAAAAAAAAATTTGCTAAGTGATTTTCTACTAATTTATATGTATATATATGTATATATTATACATATATATATATGTATATATTATATATACATATATATATATATATATATATATATATATATATATATATATATATATATATATATATATATATATATATATATATATATATATATATATATATGTATATATATATACATATTATATATATATATATATATATATATATATATATATATATATATATATATATATATATATATATATATATATATATATATATGCGGTAGTGGTGTAGTTGTAGAGCGCTCGCTTCATAAACGAGTGGTTCCGAGTTCGATCCCCACCATGTCCCTGGTAGTACCGCGCTCAACTCGTTTCTCCGCGCAGCGGCCTTGTTCGTCAAGGTTCGTGTTTCGGAGTTATAGAGTTGAGAGAGGGTTATAGCCACAAATAAGTAGCCTCCTCATCTGTAGTGGCCTTCTCGGCCTTGAGGAGGTGAATTAAAATTAAAAAAAAAAAAAAAATATATACATATACACGCTGTATATATATACATTATATATGTATATATGTTAAATATATAAATAAATATAAATATATATATATATATATATATATATATATATATATATATATATATATATATATATATATATATATATATATATAACATTTTATACCTAAATTATAAGTGATTTTGGTATAAAATGGGAGTTAAACATTGAAGTAAAACATTGAAGTTTTGGAAACAGATGCAAAGCCATGTAAACCGATGTTGGAACATTAAATGATATGGAACATTTAATGATAATGAAACAGAAAAGATGAAATTTTGAGCAGAATCGTGTTCATAAGAAATTTAGAAGCACAAAAGAAACAGTTTAAAATGTTTGGTTATGATTTGTTATTGTTTTTGAAAAAAAATTTAATTTGTTAACGGTAGCTGTTTTGAATATCTCAAATGTGAAACAATATCTCAAAAGCAAAACAACATGGAGATCAATTAACCATAACTAATAATAATTTTAGCAATTGTTCGACAGAAAAAATCTGGAAACTTATGTTCTTTTTATTAAACAACTTTAACTTTTCTCTTTAAGTTTACGTTTATTAAATAAATATATTTACATAGCATATTTTTTTTAATTTGCGTTGATTTTCTGAAAATATATTCACATTTATTATTATTTATTTTCATTTTTTAATCTTCAAGTTTAATAAAAAAATTAATTAATCAGTATTGTAAGAACATAAAAATTGAGAAAGAATCCGAATTAAAGACAAATGGACATAAACTTGGAAAAATGAATTATATTTATTCTTAAGCAAAAGAAAAATTAAAAAAAAAAATTTATTTCAAATGTTCATATTATTATATAAAAATAATTTCAAAATAATCAACAATAAATTGAAATTTAATTTTCATAAGACTCATACATATGCAACTAGTTTTTGCAGAAGTGAGACGTCAAGAAATCGCTTTCGAAAGAGCTCTCAGACGAGAAAGAATATTTAAAGACCGAAACAACCCACTCGATATTTATGATGACATAAGCTTATATAAAAGGTTTAGGTTTCGTAAAGCATCTATTTTCTATTTGACCGATTTGCTGCGAATAGATTTAGAGCCAAAGTCAAACCAAACTTTAATTGTGGCCCCTATTTTGCAAGTGTTATGTGCACTTCGATTTTATGCAACAGGATCTTTTCAAATTGTAGTTGGTGATTCTACAGCAGCTTTCATTCAACCGACTATTTCAAGAATCATTTGCCGAGTTTCTGTAGGCCTAGCGAAACGAATTAATTAATAAATCAAATACCTAACAAATCAACACGTTTTAAACGAGAGCAGAGTAAAATTTTATGAAATGGCAGAATTTCCAAAAGAAACTGACGTAATAGATTGCACGCATGTTTGCATACAGAAACCACACAAGCACGAATATGGTTATACTGATAGGTCATCAAATCATTCAATCAATGTCCAAGCGGTGTGTGACAACAAAGGAAAGTTCATTGATGTTGTTGCAAAATGGCTTGGGAGCACACATGTTGCATTTTAAGAGAATTAAAACTTGGTAAGAAATTTATAGATGGAACTCTTAAAGGCTTACTTCTTGGTGATTCCGGCTATCCGTGTTTTCTTTGGTTACTTACGCCCTATTTAAATCCAACTACAGCATCTCAGCGTAGATAAAATATATCTTTAAGAAAAACACGGATTTATAATTGAACAAATGTTTGGAAGGTGGAAAAGATGCTTTCATTTGCTTCATGATGAAGTTCGAATGACCCCTGAAAGAACCTGTACCTTAACTGCTGCGTGCGCAGTATTGCATAATTTAGCAATACAGTTAAATGACGGAGACATGGATGAAAATCCAATCGAAAATTATGAAAATGATAATGAAGATATTGTAGATGAAAATAATTTCCAATTTCGTGATGATTTTGCTTTATGACATTTTTGACAATAATTTATTTGAATAAATTTACTCATTTTCAAATTCCTTTTTTATAATAATAAACGGTTTATTAATTTTGTATTTGTTGTTAATTTGTGATAGAGCGATGAAGTTTTATAGAGTAACTTAATTTCATAGTATAGTGAAACTCCAATTCAATTGTTTTTGATGGTGTTAATTTATAATTTAACTCTAAAATATAAAAAATTTAGTTTAAAAATATAAAAAAAAAGTACTTAGTACAAGTCTAAAACAGTTTCTTATTACTTTAACTTGTTTAAATTAAGTTTAAAAAATTACGCAGCAATCATTTAAAAAAATCATGTTGTGATGAACCATCTAAACAATATTATCGCCAGTTGGCATCGCAACATTTGGTTGTTATGTAAAAAACGGCACGAAAGTTAGCTAACGGAGTGGGCAAACAGAAAGAATTTAACTGACAAAGTTAACGGAGCGGTTAATAAACGGTGACTTAACGGAAGGATAAGAATACGATTTTTCTTCATCCGTTTCGTAACGGCCCGTAAACAATTTTTTTCTTAACGGTCACTTGAACTCTCCGTTAATTTAACGGAGAGACGTGAATACGGCTGCTGTCCAACAACATCCGTGGAGTAGTGAAATAACATCCGCACATTTTTGTGTAAGATCATCCGCTTTTTTTCTTTACTGAATTAACATCTGTGCTACAACATCCGAAATTTCATTGATGTCTAATAATATCTTTAGAAAGATATAACTAAAATAATGCATTATTAAACAAAAAATAATAAAAAAATAAAACAAATTTCCGGACGTAATTACATCCGAAAAAAATCAGATGTGTAATTACATCTTATCATGGTTAAAATAATGCATTTTTAAATTACTTTTTTCCCGGATGTAGTTACATTCAAAAAATCTACAGATGTAGTTGCACGGATGTTATTATACATCAATGAAATTTGGGATGTTGTTGCACGGATGTTATTATACATCGATGAAATTTCGGATGTTGTTTTATTGCAATTTGTATACATAGCAAAAACGGATGTTATTGCCCTGACCCGTTAAAACCATTTTGAAAATGAAATATCTTAAGGAACGCAATTTATTTAAAATAAATAAAATTTAGTTACTATAAAAATAGCCTAAATACCCTATTGAAATCAATAAAAAAAAAAAAATTCTTTGCAAAGAAAAAAAAAATATTTCTTATTGTTTTCAAAGCTTTCAAACTAATAGTTTCAGCATCTGTGCCTGATGCAAGCAATGAAAGAACATTTAGCAAACTAAAAATTGTTCTAAACTAAAAACTAAAAATATTTTGCATTCAACTATGTCAGATGCTAGTTTAGGATTATTAACTTTGTTGCCGTCAAAAAAAGATTGAATGGACAATTAAGATCTTGACGTGTTGTTAAAAAAAGTGATCTATAACAACACAAAGATACAAATAAAGTTACTGATTATGCAGTTTTGCATTTTATACATAACTTTGCCGTTGTTTGTATACGCTTTTAAAAATCTGTAGATTTCATTTGCATTGAAACATTTATATAATCTTTCAAAAAATACATATTTTACGTCTCTTAACATGTTACAGGTGATAAAATAATTTTGAAATTTTTACCGAAAAAAAATAATTTTAAAACAAAATCAATTTAAAACAAGAAAAATTTTTGTTGGTAAATTGGATTATACCCTTCATCCCCCCCCCACCTCCCACGTCTTCGGCCCTGAATATATAATAAAGAAAAGTGATCGAACAACAGTGAACAAAATCTTCATTCGCCATTAGAAAAGAGTTAAAACCTAATGCGTCCTAGTTAATCCAGCACTTATAGAACGTCCATAGTCAAATTTAAAGACTAATTTTTGTACTAAGTGACTAAATTTTAAATTGTTAATAATGCAGAATGACTAATAGAGTAGACTAGTGACTAATTTTTAAATTTTTAATAATGCAGAATAGACTAGTGACTAATTTTTAAATTGTTAGAAATGCAGAATGGCAGTCGCTTCCGTTTTTTTTTGTTTTGTTGCATGCGGCAAAAAAGTCGTTTAAAAAACGTAAACAACACTGTTACCATCGTGGGTTTTTCCCAGGTTTTTTTTTTTTTTTTTTTTTTTGTATTTGTTATATCATAAAATTTTCACAAGATAAATATATATTTGTTGCTGTATATAAAAGTATTAGTATATATAAATTGATCGAATATAACATAACACAAAGAATTTTTTCTCTTCAAAGTTCATTTCAACGATATTTAATGATAGCATTAGTATTAGTACCTTTATTATTGAAATAATAATATTAGATTTGTTTTGTTTTATGAGAGATATGAAGTTAAAATAATTTGGGTAGAGAAATTTATTAATTTTAAACCCGGATTTCTAATGAAATATGATGGCGAGGGGCTCCAGGACTGAGGCCAAGGGCTAAAACAATATGTTCCAAAGCCTCAATAATTCTTTTTCTATTTATTTTTTTCCAATATAGTCTTTCAACATTTTTATCTTCATGGCACCAGAGGCCTTAAGCAAATAATGATTTTATGAATTTTGAAACTAGTCTTTTCTGGCACTGGACACTCCTGACTATATATGACTAATCTATTTATATTATTTATTTTGGTCATACTAAAAAAAAAAAAAAAAAAAACAGAATAATTAGGTAATAAAAATTAAATGCCTAACAAAATGTTGTTAAATAAAATTATCAAAATGTTAAGAGTCAATCAAGTTTATGATTTTTATTGTTTTATTAGCGCATAGGTAAACTTTTGTTGTTTTTATCATTTAATATACTTAATAAATATTTTAAACAATTTTAATAAGTAGGTTTAAACGACATTTAAATAGTCATTTACTGTTTAAATGTCATTTAAGTAGGTTTAAATGATTTATATAAAAGGTTTTGTGCAAGTTATTAGGTAGGGGTAGTGTTAGTCAACTAATTTTTATGTTTTTTCTTAATTAATTTTTATGTTTTTTCTTATCTTTATAAAAATGTTTTTAGTGTTAACCAAATTTTATTTCTATTTTGCTATGTTCTTTTCTATGTCAAGTTTTATTCTTTTAATTAATATTTTTTTAAATAAATATTACTTTTAAAATAAAGTAGCTTTAAAAAGCTACTTTATTTTTAACTCTTCTTTGAGCTTCCAAGTAGTAAAATTGTGCACATTATCAATAAACAAGTATAATTATTCTATCTAGTAATCCACTTAATAATAGACAAATCAAAATAACTTTATATAGATTCTATTTTTATTATGCTTTATAGTTTTAAAAAAAATGGTTCGCAGTTATACCAAACAGATAATTTTTTCTTATGTAAAGTATGATGGATAGAATTTCGTACTAGAAAACACTGCGTCAACTGGGTGATTTTGTATCAAACTGATTATAATTTTGGGACACTTTGGTCCTTAATCTATGCAGGGCTGTCCTGAAGCGATCTCTCATCTGGGTGGTGGTGTTGTATGTGCTTTTTGCCAACTAGAAGGACAAAAAAATTTTTTTTTTTGTAAACTTCCCAAGTCTTTACATAAAATTACAAAATATTTACATAATAGGAAATAATATAATAGGAAAAGTAAAAAAATACACACTAAATAACAAAAATACATTTTTTGTTATTTCAATAGCTCTTTAAATTTAGATAGTCTCTATTTATTTATTTATAGTTTATTCGCTAAAGAGAATGCTAGGTTAAATCTTTTTTATTCAAGATTATTTTTATAATAATAAAAAAGATTGTTTTTAATATGTAAATGAAGTACTTATTTCTTTAAATGTGATTTTAAAATATAGATCAAAAGTCTGATTATTTATTTAAAAGAAAATTTTATACAATAAACCTTTTTTTTTTGTAAATGTGTATATATAATTGTTTGTAACTCAAAATAAATTATCTTTTTAATATTTTAAATCTTGTTGTTTACGTTTTTTTCATCATATTATTTGTTTGCACCTTATTAATTGATATTTTGATTTTATTTTTAAAGTTTTATAAGAGAAGTAGATTCAATAATTGTATAATTCATTATTTTTAAAAAAATATCAATATTTTTTTATTGGCATTGAACTAAATTTGGGTTGTCATAAAAGTGTATGAAGTAATTAGTTACCTGTTATCAAATACTTGCTTTAATGCAATCAGTTATCTAGTGTCAAGTACCTGTTGTAAATTTTTTTTTCTTTTTAAACATCTTTGCTTCCAACAAGGCAGCAAGCAACCACTAATTAGTGTTGGAAGTTACTGGAAGAGAAAAGATGAAGATTGTAGAGAAAGATAACGATTGACAGACAACTTAAAAGATTGCAAATTATATGAATCACGAAAGCAAGATGATGGACGCAAATTCCAAAGAACTGATGTTCGATGAAAAAAACTAGAGGAGTAAAAGTTTTTGGAGCACTTAGGAACAGTAACAGAAACAGGATGAGACTTAATTAAATAACGAGATTTAATTAAAACACGATAATGAATTTTAGTAGATGGCACAAGAGACGCTAGCTCTTTAGAGCAGTGCCCATAATAGTATTTGTAGAAAAGAAAAAGAAAAACAAAATTACGATGATGTGATAATGGTTGAAGGTTGGCTGCAAGAGCAGGTCCAACTATGATTACAATGCATTTTTGTACCTTGTCTAAAAGAGAAAGGACATCATTAGAAGATCTGCCCCAGATATGGCAACAGTATTCCATACAAGGCCGGATTTGAGATTTATAGAGATAGAGAATAGAATCCAGGGTAAGAAAGTGTCAAGCTCGATATAGCGAAAAAAATTTAACAGATTCTAATCTTGCAACTGATTTGATATATGGTTTCCAAGAATGATCAAAAGTAAGAGTTAATCCTAGAAGATGAAGGGTAGATGACTCATTGAGTACATTACCGTTCATAAATATAGGAAGGTTTAAATTATTGCGATAATGATTGGATAAAAAAAATTGAGTTTTATCTGAATTAAAGTTCACTAGCCACTGTGAGCCCCATGCTATAGCAGAAGTGAGATCCTTTTCAAGCTCGAATGCCCTTTCAAAGCAATCGAAGAGAGTTCGTTTCTTATCATGACAAAAATAAATGGTAGTATCATCAGTGAACAATGCCACCTTAGATGTGAGAATATTTGTAAGATCGTTAATGTAAATTAAATAGAGGATTGAATCTTAAGGAACCCTTGAGGTTACAGAATAAGAAGAAGAGCGCTGTCCATCAAGGACAACTTTTATACTACGATTGTATATATTTTTTTACGATTTGATATATTTTTTTTAAATCAAGAAATTAAAAAACCGTTTAAAATACAAATTAAGCAATGCAATGGGATCTGATGTCAAAACATTGACTACACGAAGTCTACCTTTAGCCTGTGTTGAATTGACAAAGAAGGAATTTACTTCTATGCGGACATTTTGATATAATTTCAGTCTTTTTATTTAATAAACTATTGTCATTATTTGAAATAATTTTATATTTTTCATTAAGGCATAATTTGCACGATTTTGTTGTCAGGTTATATGCTTCACATCTTTTAATTATTTTCCAATTGATCACAGGATTTTTCAACTTACCTTCTTTGTCAACTCGACAAAGGCTAAAGGTAGACTTCGTGTAGTCGATGTTTTGACATCAGATCCCATTCCATTGCTTAATTTGTATTTTAAACGGTTTTTTAATTTCTTGATTTAAAAAAATATATATGGCTGATGATTGCCCCCAGACATGAAACTCTGAGTACCAACAAAAAGTTGTATTTTTTTTTTTTTTTATTTTAATACTAAATAATTATATATATATATATATATATATATATATATATATATATATATATATATATATATATATATATATATATATATATATATATATATATATATATATATATATATATAAATGTATATATATATATATATATATATATATATATATATATATATATATATATATATATATATATATATATATATATATATATATATATAATATATATTTATATTGTATGTATACTTATAGATTTATTTATAAAACATGGGTCCTAAAAACAAACAAAATGGTTTCATATTTTACGCCAGTCGAATTCGAAATGAACTATTGATGGAAGGCCATGTAATACGAAATATAAATGATCTTATTGCAGCAGCTTCTCCAAAATGGAGGGTAGGTTTTTTTATACTTTTATCATATTTATAATTTTTTTTTTAGAGTAGCGATCTCTAAAAAACTCTGAACACTATTACCAAAAAGTGTCGGAGCAGGCTCTTAATTTTCACAAAACCATGTTTTTTAAGTGCATAAGTATTTTTTGATAAAAAACAAGATCTATTATGAATTTTGATTTGAGTTAGGGGGGTACAAAAGTTTTAATTTAAAAATTCATCAACAACAATATATATATATATATATATATCAACCCTCAGAATTAGGGTCGGCATTCGGCAATGCCGACCTAACTGCTGACCTGATAGTGTTTGAGGTCGGCAAAAAAGTGCCAACCTCGTTTCTATGTTTTTTAGTCAGACCTTTGTATCAAATAATTTTTGCCAACCTGATGCCAACCTCAAAAAGATTAAGGTTGGCATCAGCTCGATTAATATATTGCCAATGTCATTTTTCGTAATACTGAGAGTTGAAAAATGGAAACAGATTAAATTGGGGAAAAAAAAAAAAATGCCATTGGAAGGAATCAAACTAGGGCCTCCACATTAGAAACCCGCCATGCTATCCACTCGACTACCTAGACATGTTATCCAGTTAAGGTTTAAAAACTATATAATAATTGCTAAAAGACTTTATAAAATAGAAATAAGTGCTACAAATCAAATTGTAAGGAGATGTTAAACTATAAAATTCAGCAACAAAATTAGATGAGGCAAAGCAAAAAAAAAAACAGTGAAGTCTACAATAAAAAGAATGATTTTCCTTTTCTTAATTTTTTTAAAGAGGATAGCAAAAATACAAATTGCAATGTGTTTGTAAAATTTATTTGTATAATTTTAATGTAATAAGAAGGGTTGAATTAAGCGAATGCAAAATGCAAAATCTGGAAAAATATCTAGTATTCAAAATTTTAGTTTATACAAAACTGTGTTCCTTGTTTGTAAGGGAAGAATCAACTTAAATTTGGTCGCGAAAAAATAAAAAATAAACTTACGATTACAAAAGTAATAACACTCTAGTCACTAACTGCATTACAAAAGTAATAACACTATAATAGTGTTATTACTTTTATAACGCACTTATACCTTTTAAAATTCATTCTTTGTTCAAGCAACATTAGTATTCCCAAATTTTAATTGAAGTAGAAAAATATCTAGAAGAATAAAGTGGATGTTCAAATAATATTAAAACTAAATTAACTTATAAAATCGTGACAAACAACTTTATGAAGACGTATCGTATTAAAAGTTTAGCATTATGAAAAACGTTACTAATGGACCGTAAAAATGTGCGATAATTTTAAAATTAACAAATAAAAATTTTTTATTGGTTGATTTTAAAATTAACGCGCGTTTTTACAAAACGTTTTTCATAATGCTATACTTTTTATAAAGTACTTTTTTATAACGTTGTTTAAGTGATATGTGAAAGTTCCTGAAATTTTTGATAATATTTGAATATCCGCTTTATTTTTTCTAGATGCTTTTCTACTTAAATAAATGTTTGGAATTAATAATGTTGTTTGAACAAAGAATGAACTTTAAAAGTAATAAGTGCTTTATAAATGTAATAACACTATTATAGTTTTATTACTTTTATAATGCAGTTAGTGACTAAATTGTTATTACTTTTGTAGTTGTAAATTTATTGTTTTTGTTTTGTTTTTTGTAACTTTCTCGCTAGCAAACTTTTAATAATTTGCTCCTTATAAACAAACGTTTTTTTTTCTTACTAAAGTGTTATTACTTTTGTAGTTGTAAATTTATTGTTTTTGTTTTGTTTTTTGTAACTTTCTCACTAGCAAACTTTTAATAATTTGCTCCTTATAAACAAACGTTTTTTTTTCTTGCTTTGACTAATTGAATTTTGTTGGCGATAGTAATAACCACTAAGAAAAAACAAAAATAAAAACAACACACAAATTATTTAAACTATTATTATTGTTTTCTATTTAAGTTTAATTTCTTATGCAGTTATTAAATTTGAAACAATTTTTCAGTAACGCATATTATATAACTTGTGCAAACAGTCGTGATCAAGTTCTCTAACTTGAAAAACGTTTTCGTGGTCGTACGAGAAAAAAAACCGCACGCCATTCCTGGGAAGGCTTGATATATATATATATATATATATATATATATATATATATATATATATATATATATATATATACATATACATATATATATATATATATATATATATATATATATATATATATATATATATATATATCAGGCTTTCCCAGGAAAGGCGCGCGGTCGCACGCCTAATTTGTTCACGCATAGAATAAATTTTTCTGACTAACTGACCACGTTTTATTATTATGCGTTTTAAGAATTTGCGCCAAAACAAAGCTAAACTAAAATACCCCAAAAATACAAGCAATGCTAAAGTAAATAACAGAAATCTGTTTGTGCTTTAAAATTAAAAAAATAATAAATATTAATAAAACAAAAATTTACCTATATTTCATTTATTTACTTTTTCTTGTTTTTTAGGGTGTTATTTCAGCTATGAAAAATTAAATCAATACAAATCAAGGAAAAAGAAAAAGATTATTGTTTATATAAACTTAATGAAAATAAAAGGACCTTTTAATGTAAAATTTGTTTATGACTTTTATCAGTCAGTAATACTTTTAAATTCACGTTAGAACTATAAACAATTTTTAAATTTATGTTTTTAAATATTTCGTAAATTCATTTAAATGTTTAAATATATTGATACATAAGAAAGCGCAAAAACGATTGCTATTTGTTTGTAAAATATGTTTTATTTTATTTTCAAATGAAAGAAAATTTTATTCTCAAACGATTGAGTTGCTTATTTTGCAATCATTAATTGACATTGTGAACGAGTGTTAAAAATAAATGTCCTGAGGGAACTGTTTTCGTAACAACGACTACAGAAGCAATGCAATTATTTTTTCAACTTCTTTCGTAATTACAAATTACGAAATTAATTTCAACGTAATAAAAGTTTTTTATTATATTGTCTGATGAAGTTCGTGAATAAATTATGTATAAAGTCTTTTTATTTTATAAACAACTTATAGTCGTCTTTTCCTTGACTTGTATCAAATTTCATAGCTGAAAATAGCAACCCTAAAAATTTCGTAGCTGAAAATAGCAACCCTAAAAAAAGAAAACAAAATCAGTATAAAAAAAACTTTTTTTTTTTTGCTATAAAGAAATTTTTTTTGTTAATTTTTTTTATTATTATTAAAATATTTTTTTACATCCAATTTCAACTTTATACTTTGTTAAGAATTTGTTTCCTTTTTTTAGTATTATTTTTTATTCTTTGTGGATAAGTTCCGCTTTCCCGCGAAATATTGCCGCGGTCATGTTTTCTGAAAAATTTATTCTGTGTGGACAAACAAGGTGTGCAACTGCACGCCTTTCCTGGGAAAGTGTGATATATATATATATATATATATATATATATATATATATATATATATATATATATATATATATATATATATATATATATATTCAGATATTAATTTTTCTAAAATCAAGTTGTAAATGCATGGAACAACTTACCATCTGAAATAATAGAACCTGCTTCAATAAATAACTTCAAAAATAAACTAGATAAATCTGAATTTTGCAGAAACTATTTATTAAAGCATAAACAAAAAACAAACTGAGCTTTTACAGGCCTTGTTTTAAATAGAAAATGCTTAACACAATAGCCTAATCAGGCTTGGTCGGTAATAATAAAACTAGGAAAAGAAAATAACTTTTATTGCAAAAAAACTTAGAGCAAAATAAATTATGTTTAGAACAAATTTTTTCGAAACATCGTTCTTTTTTCTTTTTTTTTTTTAAACTAAGCGGCATTATTTATATAAAGTAATATCTTACGATTGCTTAATAAGCAGGCTTGGATAGGAATGGCGTGCGATCGAATGCTATTGCTGACCACGTAAATGATTTTTTTGTCGACAATTTGACCACAACTGTTTAGATGTTTTGATGATTTAAACATTTTAGAAATGCGCTGGAGAATGAAATGCTAAGTTAAACAGTTTAGCTTAGCATTTTTAAGTCTGGAAACTATAAAAAAAATTTAAAAAAACTGAAAAAAATAAACAATTCCTTGCGAAAAAGAAAATAAATTAGCTTTAAAATAAAACTTAAACTCAAAGCGAAATTTACTTTTGTCATGTTTTTAATTGCGTTTGAAATAAATTACTTTAAAACTAATCTTTTAAAATGTTTTATTAAGTTGCGTAAAATGCTTTTGCAAAATACTTTTAATGATTGTTTTATAAATGAACAACTTTTATTTAAACTGTTGTTTATTTAAAAAGTGAAATTAAATTATTGAAATGAAAAAAATATAATATTTTTAAATTGCATAAACATTTTTTTTTTAAAGTTGCTAAAAAAAATTTTTTTCAATAAAAAAATTTACTATTTTAAAAAATAGTCTTTTTAAAATAGTAATTTTTAATCATTACAAAATGTAATGTAATTTTTTTGACTTGACTTACTAATGTAAATCAAGTCAAAAAAGTCAAGTCAAGTAAAAAAAAAAGCTTTTTAACAATTCTTTGTAAAAATAGAAAGAAAAAAAATAAAGCAATTAAATCATTCCATTGCAACGATTTTAATTAAATTTAATCATAGTTTAAAAAAAAATTATCTGAAAAAGATTTTTAGACATGAAAAAATAAATTCAACTATTTGAATTTATCATAAAAAATTACATACCTACCAAAGAAAATTTACATATTTAATTTACACAAAATGTATTTATTTTTAACGATCATTATAATTAATTTTTAACAGTATATTTAACAGTATATTTAAGTAACAGTTAATTAAAGTCTTCGCGTAAAATAAAAGTGTTTGAAAAGATCAACGGTTAATTGTTATTTATAACCTAACAATTTTTTTAATTGCATATAAATTGATAAAACATTATAACAGCCGTGTTCAAATTGTAAAGAAAAAAAATTATTAGCGTGGTCAGTTAGAGTGTGA